ACTGTAAAGGGATTCATAAGAATTTGTCATTTATTTGAGGATAACTTCTTTTACTACATTTAGTCGCCAATTCTTTTGACATTAGATTACATTTTACTCTTTCATCTCTTAGTTAGCATTTGATTCAACTTTTCATAAATATATTTAGCTATCAATCCTCTCTTTAATATTCTTTTTAATTAAGGATTCATTTTTAGCCAAACATCAAATCAAATGAATATATATATAATTGTGACAAATAATGCATTAATAAAACATAAGCCTATAATGCAGTCTATAATCACACAATAATTTTCGATTTGACACATAATTTAGTCAATTGTTTAAACCAATCAATTATATTGCGAATAAAAAATTAAAAAAAATTAATTGAATTTTTATTGATATAAATAATTGAAATGAATGATCAAATGATAGCTTTTATCTGTAAAACCATTATTTGTCTCTCGCTTTGATTCAGTGTAGGAAATAATTATCTAATTTATTAATACAATAATTGGGTTTTGGTTTTATATCTTATTTTTGAAATCAGTTGCAATGAATCACAGTCTATAAGCAAAACATTTGGGAAATAAAAATTCAACGATAATTAATATTGTTTTAGAGAACCATTTATCACAAATTCAAATGTCATTAATTTCCAGAAATGACTCAAAAAACATATTATATTTAAATCCAAGCATTATTTTGCAAATGATTTATAATTGTGAGGAAAATGTGCTCTTTTATAATATACCCAAAGGAGTGTCGGGTCTGATTCAGGGGCTGCCAATTGGGCCCACTTTTAAAACGCTTGAAATTTACTTTAAGCACCAGATTAAATAACACTAAAGTCTCTCTCTCTCTCTCTCTCTCTCTCTCTCACTCTCTGCAATTTTTGAAGTTATTTTTAAATATGAAAGAATAAAGTGATAAAATATTGTGAGACTCCCATCAGAATAATAATCCATATCTCATACTATTATATAATTTAGAGACTCACTCTATTTGTTAAATAACTAAATAATCCTCAAAAATAAAAATTCTTGTCTGTTGTGTGCAATAAAATAGCAAAAAATTTCAACGACTTTTGCATTTGAAAGCATATTTTTGCTCAAAAATTTAATTTAATTTAAATTGATTATACTTATGATAATCATATTTAATCAATTATTAAAGCAATTAAAAATTCCATAAAATTTTCTATTATAATATTAATAAAAACATATCTCTTAGAAATGAGTACATTACTCCATTAAAATGTAATTGAAATTTTTAAAAATATTTTATTAAAACTTATATAAAAATATATTTATTCTTATGTAATCTTTAATATATTGTACTGTACTCGACACACATTTAAGAATTGAATAATATGCTTTAATTAAAAATATTTTAATTATAATAAAAAACTACACTCAAAACATCTTACTGAGAATTCAATCTATATTTATGATACTTTAGAGAATTTGCATTGAAATTGTGAACATATTTGTTTGACTTGAGTGTCATTCAAATAAAGAATATTTACAAAATACTCAATACATGACTACATCTATTATTCTGTCGTATTCTGTGAATTAAATTTAATTAATGCTTTCATATAGAGATTTAAATCATAAAACTATCGATAAAATGTAATTCCTGTGGAATAAATGAAACAATTCTAATAGGAGACCATTTTAAATGTTGCCATTTCACACCATTAATACGACGATATAGTTAACAATTACATTCACAGTTTCATTACTATTACTGCCCAAACGTTATTGGAAAGTGTGGTCATAGAAGCTATCAATTGATAATTACTTCCAATGCTTACAAGAAATGCACCGAAACTGCGAAACATAATTCACTTTTTAGACATAAACGCCTTTCACTAAATAAATGTGTTGTCTATTCAGCTATCGTTTAAGCGTTAGATTATCTGAGAGACCCATTCAGCGCCCGCACTACCCGTTAGGCTATTTTTCTTAACATTTTAATTAATTTTTAAAACTCGTCAACAATTTCATTTACTTTCATTTACTTTAAAATTAATTAAACGTTTAAAATTACAGGTCAATTTTCTTGAAGTATTTATTTGAAATAAAATCACAATATTATGGGAATATTAATTATATAATTTATATGTTTGGAGCTCATAATTGTTAACTTTTTGCTAGGATATTCTTATTATTTATAATAAATCGCATATTTATACCGTTCATCGATAAGATACTAGTATTCAAAATGTATCAATTTAATAGTTGTATATTAATTTTGAGACATTGCTGATAAAATAATATTGTATCCATATAAAATTGTGAGAAAGAGGTTAAAAGTAATATACATTGTAAGTTATATAATACAGAATTTGGTTTCTAAGTTATTCTGGATTCATTCAGACAGATAATACTCAATACATAATACAATTGACCAGTAGTTATAATAATAAGATTTTTATTGTTTATTTGATGTTATAATATATTTACATATGAAGTAATAACGGATTCAATGATTTTATGAATAGTATTATGTTCTGAAGACGAGGAACGGTTGGTAAGGGATTTGTTCCGAGACTATAACAAACTGATTCGACCGGTCGAAGTGATGAATGAGACGGTTGAAGTCCATTTCAAACTATCATTTATTCAACTTATTAATGTTGTAAGTATTGCACCATTTCTTAGACATTCTAACATATCATAGAAGTTAACACTCGGGATGTCTAAAAACAATCCAAGTCTAAGGAAAACACAAAAAACAACTATTAAAATATAAGACATCATAATATTTATTGTATGTTTCATGTCTCATGAAATATATGATAATGAAAATATAGCTATAAGTCTAAGAATGTAGAGAATTGTATGAATAGTATTGAAATTGTTTTATTAATTAATATTTCAGAACGAAAAGAATCAAATAATGACATCCAATGTATGGCTTCAACTCGTGAGTAGTCTTTAAATTAATTAAATTTATTTTCAATAATATATTACAAGAGTTGTAAAGAAGCACTTAATTTGGTTTAAAGTGATTGAAGTTCTGACTGTATGTCTAAAGATATTTGAAATGAATAAATTTCCGGAATTAATGTTTGAAATGATTTTTTTGACAAAAAGTAGGCAAATGAAAGTAAGGGTAAATTGATAATAAATGCGAAAATGTTTTGTTGTTTTATTTACAGTAAATATTAGATAATATGATGTTAAGGGAGAAAGTGAACAAAAACATGTGAATTAAATAGATTCTCATTTGAGATAATGTTGTGATAATGGATGGATGGGTTGTGCGAGTGGTGGCCATCATTGGCATCACTACTACTTCTAAAGATTACAAGTAATGGAGAGCCGGAGTATAGTCTGAGAGCAAGGAATTGAGTATTTTTGTGCCAAAATCAATACGACATGACATAACGGTTCTGTGGTGGCCATCATTGGCATCACTACTACTTCTAAAGATTACAAGTAATGGAGAGCCGGAGTATAGTCTTCAAGCAAGGAATTGAGTATTTTTGTGCCAAAATCAATACGACATGACATAACGGTTCTCAAGTATTGCTGTTAACTTAATTTGACTGAATTTTAGGTTACAGTTATGTAGGTTTGCGTCAAATTCCACAACTTTATTAAGGCTCCACTTTATGCCTGCGATGCCTACCAGTGCCTACCAGTGCCTCCAATCTTGATGTTACTCTATTCATATCGTATCAATCATTTCGTACTCCCTTTCCATTTGTATGATTTTCAATGATATTCTACTCTTAAACCAATTCTATGCGCACTTATAGATGAAAAATTGATAATTCATATGAAAAATGACAAAACATATAAATTATAAGTCCAATAAAAATATATCAATTGAAACACAAATCCTCTGCAATCACTTCAATGCTGTAATTATGACTCGAATACAGTATTTTCGCTCAATTGAAGCAAAATATGAGATAATATATTCACCAAATTTATTATCGATTAACTCCTACCACTATAACCACTCCATTACACTCATTATAATCAATAAAATTTAATTCTTTTTCAAATTCTTTATAGAATTATACTTTATATATATAAATATACTAATACCAGTAAAAATGTATATAAATGTACCTGATGAAAGTAACTCTAAAAGTAGATCCCAAACCAATTGCAGTCCATTTAGGAATCCTACAAAATTTAATTTACATTTATTTTCAAAATTTAGCTCAACTGTTGATTTGTAACTAAAACCTAGTTGTGTTCATGCAATACAGGGTCAGTTTATTTAATAAATTGTCATCATAGACATCTATACTTGAGATTGTGTTTAAGCTTTATGTTAAACTTTAACAGTTAAAGCAATGAGTGTTAAAATGAATACAACTTAATGAAAATGTTTTATACAATATATTTCATGTGAAATAAGGAACGAATATAACATTAGTACAAATTAGTATTATTTATGTGTAATTTTTATTTTAAGGAATACAGTAGTAAGCATTTCATATACTTTAAATGTATCACAACTTTCTCTGTGTTTGCAGTGCACTTTGATTTTAAGTTTCAAAATTCACAAATGTCTCTAAAAACCCAAACCGTGTCACTTCATACAAGTTTTAAATTATATTTTATTTTTGCGCACAATTTGGTTTTGCCACTTTTTACATTTAAATATATTATATAAATTTATACCGTTTTCTTGTGAATTTCAAATGCGTTTCCTATTTGTCAATTTTATTATTTCTTAAAATACATCTCTCAATAAATAAACACAAATGCGAGAATAATTTCTATTTTATATTTATGTCGATCAGATTCTATCATAAATTCTCTGCATTTTTCTCATCAAAGTGTTTCATATTTTGACGAAATAATTACTGTTCAACCAAACAATGAGTGAATTTTGTGAGACTTTTATATATCATATAACAAAAGCAAATTTGATTTTTTGGTTTTCTATTTAATTTGGAGAGCGAGATATTAAAGTGAAAGTCTAACAAATAATCTACAATTGAATGACTTTAGGCTAAACAATATGTAATAACTAACAACTTGTGAACAACGATGATATTGTTATTATATTTTGACGTCTATTATATAATATTATTCATTTGCTATTTTCTGTTGCTTTTTTATCTATTTTACTCATATATTTCACAACAATAATGACAATTCATTGCAAATATTTGTTACAAAATTATGCCCCAAAACTGTTCATAAAACAATTTGAATAATACAATGATTTGATTTGTTGTAAAGAATATAGACTCTTCAGTATAGAGGATTAATTACCATACTTTGTATTTGACTTTTGAAAGTTATATTAAAATATATTGGTATATATTCTGCACTATATGTTAGATTTGAGTTCTGTGAACATACTAGAGATAATTCAATAGTTATTTGACATTTTAATAAATATTTATATTAGCTTCAAGTGAAAGGCTGTGTTGCCAACAAATTTACAAAAACATTAAATTTATTCTTTCACAAAATCTTTCGACATATGAATTGTCGTTTTACAAACCCTTTGACACCGCTTGTGCTCATAATAGATCTCATAAATTATAACAACTGTACCTGTTAAAGTTGTTATGTTACTTCATTAAAATTATTTATTGTCTCATTTACTAAAGAATTTATAAAAGAGACGTCTACTATGATTTCGACACAATTATTGCACTTTTGTTTTGACCATTCTCTTATTGACAATACATTTAATTCACTTGAATTGAGATCATATATACAGTAAAGTATATAGTGTATATAGTAGTGAATAACTGGACCAACACACAACTCGCACAATTCACTGCTTAACAAATTCATGAAAATATTTTTAAAAACAATATTCTGAATTATTGAATAACTCTCACATCAATATCTAGAGAATATACTGCATTTGATTTTTATGATTTGATATACTCTATATGTTTACTACAGTACACAGTAAAGTGTATTATACTTTAATGATGTTTTAGTTACAGAATAATCAATTATTGATTAACTTTTGATTCTATATAATTTGAAAAAATGTCAAATGATTAAAGATTTGGGACGACTATCAGTTGAAATGGGATGAAGCAGATTATGGGGGCATTTCAGTGCTCCGGTTGCCGCCCGACAAAGTATGGAAACCCGATATAGTTCTGTTCAATAAGTGAGTTGTATAGCATTTCATGCGACAATGAATGCAATGATTGATTTGTTGTGTGCGGGCAGTGCTGACGGCAACTATGAGGTGCGGTATAAGTCAAACGTATTGATATACCCGTCGGGTCAGCTGATGTGGGTGCCACCGGCCATCTACCAGAGCTCGTGTCAGATAGACGTCACGTACTTCCCATTTGATCAGCAGAAGTGTGTCATGAAGTTTGGGTCGTGGACTTTCAATGGAGATCAAGTGTCCTTAAAGCTATACCAAGAGAACTATTGGGTCGACTTGTCGGACTACTGGAAGAGTGGCACCTGGGATATAGTGGAGGTGCCCGCCTTCCTCAACGTCTACAACAATTCGAAATACGGAAAGCCTACTGAGACTGATATATCATTTTACATAACAATCCGCCGCAAGACTCTCTTCTATACGGTCAACCTCATCCTCCCAACAGTCCTCATCTCATTCCTCTGTGTCCTCGTCTTCTACTTGCCCGCAGAGGCCGGTTAGTCACCACTCACGAGCTGGCAGTCGCTGCCACTCCATTTGCTATCATTAATGTTTGTCTGTTTGTTGGGCACCTGTAGGCGAAAAGGTAACTCTAGGCATATCCATATTGCTATCACTGGTTGTGTTTCTGCTGCTGGTGTCGAAGATATTGCCTCCGACTTCGTTAGTGCTGCCCTTAATCGCCAAATACTTGTTGTTTACGTTTCTTATGAACTGCGTGTCAATACTGGTGACAGTGATTATCATCAATTGGAACTTCCGAGGACCTAGGACACATAAGATGCCCAACTGGGTCAGAGTAGTCTTTCTCAAATACCTACCGGTGCTTCTCTTCATGAAGAGACCCAAAAAGACTCGCTTACGATGGATGATGGATATGCCTGGCCTTCACTACCAGCACTTCCATCCATCCCATCATCACCAACAACAGGGCGGATCTCCTGATCTCAAACAGTGTACCGTTAAGTCCAAAGTTGAGTTCATGGAGTTGGCAGACATTGGACAACCGCAACACAACCTCCCTCTGGGCCATCACCCCAACTGCACTAAAGCCACACAACCGCCTCAAAGTAAGGCATCACTTGATAGGGACAGGGATGCTCTCAGAGACAACGAAAGCATTGATATGCTATACCTGACACCCGAGGCGTACAGAGCGGCCGAAGCCATCGAATTCATCGCCGAACACTTGAGGAGTGAAGACGAATATATTCAGGTGAGTGTCACTTACATACCAGTCCTCCAGTCATCCAGTCCTCCGATCCTTCACTCTCTCTGCTCCCTCTCCCACAGCAATGCCATTGTATGCATACTCTATAGCCTATAGGCTGTGCTATGCTATGCTTCCAACAAATCATTATTTAGAGCACAGAGTCTTTAGAGCTCTTGTCTTCATCACTACAACACTCTCTCCTAGACTTGTATTGTATTAATATTTAGTTAAATAAATTGAATTCAAATCCATACAATCCTTTAACTCAATTATTCAATACTACTCCCATTTAAACATTCATTTCAATTCATATTCAATTTAATCAGTTTTATTATATTTAATATGAGATTCAATATTTGTTTAATAATTCATTAGCATTAATACCTAATGTTAAGTTTTTGTATAAACCTGACACTCAATCTATAATGTCTATATACAGTGCATTACTGTAGGAGTTTGTCTCAAGAATTCTTTAGGAATTTTAAATTTATTGAAATATAGTATATAGTATATAGTATATTAAAACCTATTGAAATACAGTGAAAGTGCTTTTAATAATAATATATTAATAAAAAATTTACACTTATAAGAATTAGTTGAGAGAATGGCATTATGTGATTAAATGCTATGAATATAAGATTTAAATATATAAACTAATTATTAAATAAGCATTAAAAATTAGTTCAACAAAACTATCGGTGTATACAATATATAGAAGTCTAATCATATAGTATATTAATAAAGAGTATGTTGCATGTTTTACATGATTATTGATTTGAATACAAGTGTTAATATGAATGATTCAGATTCGTGAGGTAAACTATCGGTGTATACAATATATAGAAGTCTAATCATATAGTATATTAATAAAGAGTATGTTGCATGTTTTACATGATTATTGATTTGAATACGCGTGTTAATATGAATGATTCAGATTCGTGAGGACTGGAAGTATGTAGCGATGGTTATCGATAGACTCCAGTTGTATATATTCTTCGGAGTGACAGCGTTTGGTACGATTGCCATACTGTTGGACGCGCCGCATATCTTCGAGCCCGTGGATCAGGACGCGGTCATCGACAGACATCGGGGCAAAGTATAGCCCGGTTGTCAAAATCATTTGAACAAAAGGCAAACTTGTGACAAATATGTTTTAATATTGGTTATACTGTACAGTTATAGTATGTCTGTATGATATGACTGACTACTGTAATAATAAATGATAAATGAATAATAATAATAATAATAAACTCAAATTTTGTTGTGCTCAAATTTTAATTTATAAGACAAATACGATATTCCTTATATAACTCATTGCCATTTTATCATTTGTATTGCTATTACATATAAACATGCATTAGAATAATGATTATATTATTTATTAAAACGACAAAATTAATTTCAACATTCATTGTTTTTCAACACACAAATAATAAATCATTTGTAGATATATTGCCATTAACTTTAGAGGGAATTGTTTTTAAAAATCAAACAAATTATTGTAAATATAAATATGAAAATGAATTTAGAGATTAAATTCACATCAAATGAAAACGAGTTAATCGCACATCAAAGTCAACTTACTGTTAATTATCATTAAATAGTATCTAACAAAATATTATCATGAATTGTAATGACTTTCGTTTATAGCAATTTATAATTCATTTGTTATACAATAAAAGTAATTTGTATTGAATTAATTTTCATTTCAATAAAGTAATGCTCAATTCCACACACCGGCGCCCACTTTCATAACTCATCTGTGCTTCAGAGCTACCGTCCACTCCATTCAAGTTATGATGGAAAGTAAGGTGTTGTTCACTCCATACTGTACTCCCTGTCTATTAGTTATAAATACTGTATTACTCTTTTATTCCGACATACAGTATACTCCATATACTCCTCTATACAGTAGTAAACTATAGTTGAGTTAATATTGTGTTCACATCTCTCGTAACCCATCAGATCGATTATGGCATAGAAAATAGGCTCCAATACTATTGATTATTGTATTGCATATTCTGTACACTACAGAATATTCTGTTCTCACAATATTCTATAAATGCTCTACAATACAATTATTTCGCAGATTGTATGCAAATAAATTTATTATAGTATTTATATTATATTCATCTCAACTGTTCATTTTATTTTTAAATTGCTCAAACTTCACTTTTTCAATTTAGTTTACCCATAAATAACAGTAGTAATATTTCTTAAATTAAATATTTTTCGTAATTCAATATTGCATTGTGTTGTTTTTAGCGATTAAAGAATAAAAACTATAATATACTATATTTTAAGTATAGACACAATTGAAAGAATTTCTGTATTCGTGTTCAGTTATTATATGACTCTGTAATTGATTTGTAAGTTTCTTTGTGTTGACAATTTTTAAGTATCTAATTATATGTATATAATCATTGAAAATAATAACTCTATTAAGAATTTAATATCTTTTAATTCCCTTAAATAATGTAAGATTCTGTGGAATACAATATTCTTATTTCAACATTTTTGCAACATAAATAAAATCAATTTTCAAATTTAATGCTACATTAAAAAAAATATTCTGATTTAATTGATGTAAAACTTATAATAAAATGTTAATATATTGAAATTATTGCATTGACATGTTAAACAAAAACACTAAAATCAAATACAATTCATCGATGAGATAGAGTGAGACAATCAGTTACTGTATTGACATTCAAGTCTAAAAGCATTGTATCTCATGTGGCCTTTCATGTAATGCAGTCTTTCATACAATGAATGTTTGCTTTGTATGAAAGGCATCGAAATCACAATTTAGTTTTTTGTGCTAAAATATAATACAAACACACGATATATACGATATATATGTTTGCGAGGCATGCGAATCGGCGACAATCGTTGACCTCCTTTCCCCATATAATAACATTTCGACAATAATTTATAATAAAATTAATTTTATTATAAT